ACGGTAAACTTTACGTAGAGATAACATTTAATGTTGGTGTTATGGGGAAATGTAAATTTAACTAAGTGTGGCTGGCTAAAGTATCTTTTCGTGATCGGTTAAAACCGGTGGAAAACAATGTTTTTGAGGCTTTTTGTACCATATGCAAAAAACGGATTCAGCTAGCTACAATGGGAGTGAAGGCGTTAGACTCTCATGCCAAGTCGAACAAGCATATGAACTTTCTCAAAGCAAAAGAACAAACTCCTTCCATCTCCGAAGTGTTTCAACCTGCTAACGCTTGCCAGGTAGATATGCCTGACAGCGTAGCAGCAGCTAATGTTAGCTAGCTAGCAGCTAGTGCTGCAGCCTCTACAGGTGCAAGCTCAAGTAGAGTGAATCTGCGGGACATTCCAAAACAGAAGTTTTCATTTATGGAGTTGCCTGCTGACAGCCAAAATCCGCTGAGTCACTCAGAAACTAGGACTGTTTTCCTGTTGCTAGGTAGATTAACTAACATCCCCCCACATAGGCAGATTAACTAACATCCCCCACAGAGACAAACTCATGCCTTATCAGCATTCCAGAGCTGGCCTGAAAGGAAAAAGCCCTGAGACTTACTTTACAACATGATTACTTAAAAAGGAACATTTAAGATAGTAAAATACATTAAAACCCTAACAGACTGAGTCTGGAGTAGAAACATCCAGAGCCACCTAGTACAGGCCTGTGCAGGAAATGAGCTACAGGTGCCACATTCCCTAGGTCCAGCTACTTTAGAACCAGAAACAGCGGCAGAAGCGCATGACCTGGGCTACAGAGAAGCAGCATTGGACTGTTGCTCAGTGGTCTAAAGTACTTTTTTCGGATAAAAGCAAATTTTGCATTCTGAAATCAGGGTGCCAGAGTCTGAAGGAAGACTGGGGAGAGGGAAATGCCAAAATGCCTGAAGTCCAGTGTCAAGTGCCCACAGTCAGTGATGGTCTGGGGTGCCATGTCAGCTGCTGGTGTTGGTCCACTGTGTTTTATCAAGGGCAGGGTCAATGCAGCTAGCCATCAGGAGATTTTGGAGCACTTCATGCTTCCATCTGCTGAAAAGCTTTATGGAGATGAAGATTTCATTTTTCAGCACGACCTGGCACCTGCTCACAGTGCCAAAACCACTGGTAAATGGTTTACTGACCATGGTATTACTGTGCTCAATTGGCCTGCCAACTCTCCTGACCTGAACCCCGTAGAGAATCTGTGGGATATTGTGAAGAGAAAGTTGAGAGACGCAAGACCCAGCACTCTGGATGAGCTTAAGGCTGCTATCGAAGCATCCTGGGCCTCCATAATAGAGGGCTGCATTGGGATTGGGTCCCGCCGGGTCCCCCAGGACCCAACACAAATCTCGCGGGAGCGGGCGTTTTGAATTTTGCTGCGGGCGGGAACGGTCGGTTAAAAAAAACAGTGCGGGATCGGGATAAGCATGATGGAGTCGGCAACTGACGTTGAAAGGAAGCTAAAACAAGGTCTTTATGACACGAAAATCAAGCAAGGCAAGTCAGACATTTGGAGGAGTTTCTCAATTGTTTGTGACAAAGCTGGAAACGAATTGGACTTTGTCAGTTGCGACAAATGCGCGAAAATACTCGTCTACAACGGACACAAATCCGGCACCTCTGGGTTGAGGCGGCACACCTGCTCTGTTCTCCCCGGTCAAAGTAAGCTGCTTTTCAAGGATAAACCACTTCTCCCTGCACAAATTAAACAAGAAACTGCTGAGAAATGTGTGGAAGTGTGCTGCGCAGACATACGGCCGTATGATTTTGTTGCCGGGAAAGGCTTTGTTGACATAGCGCAACATTTTGTTAATGTTGCCGCTAAATATGGCAAATTTGATGTAAAAGATATTTTGCCTCATCCAACCACTGTATCCAGACATGTCGAGGGGCGAGCAACAGCGCTGCAGGCGTCAGTGGCAGCGGAGATAAGGCCCATCATTGAAACGTACGGATGCACCATCACAACAGATATCTGGACGGAGGATTATCATAAAACGTCATTTATATCCAGCACCATCCATTATGCAAACAACAACTTCAACCTAGTTTCCAGGGTGTTATTTGCTGCTCCGTTCGAGAGCGGTGTGTCAAAAACAGGGGAGAATATCAGGAACCTGCTCTTCCAGAAACTCCGTGAGTTTGGAATAGATGCGACACTTCTGTCTGGCCGTGTTGTGTTTGTCACCGACCGTGGAGCCAACATAGTTGCTGCCCTGCGTGGATACACAAGGCTGAACTGCAACGCGCACATCCTGAACGTCACTCTGTCTAGTGCATTTTCACCAGGCGTGTTGGATGAAACTGCTGAGCTGTCTGAACTGTTGACCAATGCAAAAAAACTGGTGAAATATTTCAAACATTCAGGTCTGCAAAACAACTTGAAAAAATCTCTCAAGCAGTCAGTCGAGACCCGATGGAATTCAAATTATGACATGTTGGATTCCATACTTCAACAGCATGAGGAAATCTACGCATTACTGCTGAGCAATAACCAATATGAAAGAATTGTGCATATCAATGGAAACACTCTGAAAACAGTAGTTGCCTTTCTTAAGTTATTTAAGGATGCTACTAATGACCTAGAATCCGACAACTCCACTCCCAGCGCATCACTTCCACTGCCGTGGTCTGTGAGACTCATTGAACACTGCCAAGCTGCATCCCACAAGCCCTTGCTCTCTAAAGTCGCCAATGTGTGTGCCTCACGTCTGGAAGAACTTATGGGCACCAGTGACACATCTGCATCCCCTCTCCACATGATGTACAGGATTGCAACACTGCAGACTCCTAAAATGCGACTGCTACGGATGCTGCCCTCAGACGCAAGAGAAGATGTAATTAAAGGTATGCTGCCTAGCTTTTTATAAAAACAGAAAATGGCATGCAATGCAGTTATAATTAAAATTATATTTAAAATGAATTTTAAAAATAGAAGGAGAAATAAGAATGAATGAGAGACATAATAGCTAAATGAATGACACGAGCCATTTTTAAAATAAATATTAATTAATATATGAATAAAATCCTTTTTTAAAGGTGCGAAGGATATTATTCAGAAGATGCAGTTTGACCTGGTCCCAGCCACAGCAGAGGATGAGCCACCACCAGCCAAAAAGCAAAGCACAGAACGATTCGCAGACTGGGAAGATGACGCGTCATTTGCATCAGCGCCAAAGTCGGTCGATGATGAAATTTCTGAATATCTCACCTGCCGGCTCTCTGACAACCCAGACCCAAACAACGTGCTTCAATGGTGGAAGTTCAACAAAGAGCGCTTCCAAGCGCTCTCAAAGCTGGCGCGTTTCATTTTCAGTATCCTTGCATCCAGTGCGCCTTCAGAGCGCGCATTCAGTGTCTGTGGGCGCATCTTGGAAGAGAGACGCACAGGATTGGGACCGCAGTCGGTCAGCCACATTCTCTTCCTTCACAGCAATATTCCAACCAAGTGATTAATCAGCAAATTTAATTTTTTGGTTTTTATAAGTTATCTTTGTTATCTATTAGTGTTATTTGAGCCACTCAATCTGTTGCTATTTGTTAATTAGGTGCCTGTGTTACTGTGCGGCATGCCTAAGTTTGAACGTTTTTATTTTATTTTATTTTTTCAAACAGAACACCTGCAACATATGGCAAAAAACTTTAAATCTGCTGTTTTTCATGTTTATACGGTACTTGTTTTGCAAAGCGGTCTATTTTATGTACATTGTGATTGTGTTGATTTTTTATACACATGTATAAAAACGAAGTTATTAAAAGTCACTGCGCTGTGTTGTCTATATGCCAATTGTGTCAATATTTCTCATTCAGGTCTCTTAGAAAAGAGGCCTCGATCACTGCGTGATTACAGAGGAGAATAGAATATGAAACGGCCTTGATTTTCCTTTAAGCACCACACAGTAGCTCCTTTATTATTATTATTTTTTTAAGAATTTTATAATTTAAGTAGTGAGGAGTTATTTGAAATCGCATGCGCCGAGGTGTCACCGGTGATCCTGGTGACGCCTCGGCGTTAAATGGTTAATCCTGACCAAGACGTGCAGGCCTGAGAAACGAAACAAGGATTCATGTGGTTTCCGTATCCAATAAAATGACATGTTTTCTCCAGAACCAGAGAGGACACAAACTCAATACATCTCTTTTATTGTGAGGTAATAACTTCTCCGGGTTTTGCGGTTGCGGACGGGAGTGGACATGCACACTGCGGGTGCGGGCGGGAGTGTAACATACACTTTGCGGTTGCGGGCGGTAATGGTCAGAAATTCAGCGGGAGCGGGCAGGAGCGGGATGAAGAAAACAGTCCCGCGCAGGGCTCTACTCCATAACACCTCAGCAGTGCCACAGGCTGATTACCTCCATGCCACGCTGCATTGAAGCAGTCATTTCTGCAAAAGGATTTCCGACCAATTATTGAGTGCATAACTGAACATAATTATTTGAAGGTTGACTTTTTTTGTATTAAAAACACTTTTCTTTTATTGGTCGGATGAAATATGCAAATTTTTTCAGATAGGAATTTTGGGTTTTCATGAGCTGTATGCCAAAATCATCAATATTAGAAACAATAAAAGGCTTGAACTCCTTCAGTTGTGTGTAATGAATCTAATACATATGAAAGGCTAATGTTTATCAGTACATTACAGACAATAAAGAACTTTATCACAATATGCTAATTTTTTGAGAAGGACCTGTACTTGAGTGCAGAATATCCCAAATCAGGGGTTTTATCAATTTATATAACGTTCTGTGTGTAATAACTCTTTAAAATCAACATGTGAATGTGGGGGTGGGGGTTTGTAGAACCTAGAAGGCATAATATAAGTACAGGCCTTTTACCAAAGGTTGAGGTTGTCAAGGTGTTAAAAAATCTGATTAATTCTAGTAATCCTACATTCTTATAAAATGTTAATATATTCACCTCAGATGAAAAAGTCACTCAATTCAAAAGTTATTTCAGTTAGTTCCTGTTTCCCACAGATTTTCACCAGACGGTTAAAGAAGAAGCTCTTGAAGATCAGAGTGCTGGTGTGGTCCAGCAGGATCCAGAACAGTTCCACATGAAAGAAGAACAGGAGGAAGTCTGGACAAGTCTGGAAGGAGAGCAGCTCCATTTGAAGGAAGAGACTAATTCTGCCAGGTTTCCATTCACACCAGTTTCTATAAAAAGTGAGGATGATGAAGACAAGCCTCTGTTGTCACAGCTTCTTTATCAGCAGCAAATAGAAGACAGAGACGTTTCAACCAGCAGCTCAGCTGACCAGACAACAGCAGAAACTGGTAGAGGAGCAGAATCTAGCAGGAACCCAGTTCTGAACCCTAATGAACAGATATCTGATTCTTCAGAGACTGAAGTTAGTGAAGATGATGTGAATCTAAACGATGAGTTGTTAGACTCTGGGCCTGAAAGTGGAGATGGAGACAATGACAGCAATGAGAGCAGGTCTTTTGAATCTGATGTAAAGACTGTCAAGAAACCCTTTAGCTGCCCTGAGTGTGGTAAAGAGTTTCTCCACAAGTGGTCTCTCCAGAGACATGTGAGAGTGACGAGTCATTCAGCAATAAGATCTCCAGGATGTTTGGTTACTAAGAAAAAAGTTAGAGTAAAGCAACATGTGGACTCATGCAGGAAAGTCCAGACAGAGCCAAAATCATTCAGTTGTGACATTTGTGAAAAAATATTTAGTCATAATAATAAATTAAACAGACACATGATTGTCCACACTGGACAGAAACCCTTTACGTGTGAGCTCTGTGGAAAAAGCTTTAATCGAAGAACAAATTTAAACACTCACATGAGAATCCACACAGGACAGAAACCCTTTGCGTGTGAGCTATGTGGAAAAAGCTTTAATCAAAGGACACATTTAAACACTCACATGAGAATCCACACAGGACAGAAACCATTTGCTTGTGAACTCTGTGGAAAAAGTTTTACTCTAAGGTCAAAATTAAACAGACACATGAGAGTCCACACAGGACAGAAACCCTTTGCATGTGAGCTTTGTGAACAAAGATTTAGGCATGAATCAACATTAAACACTCACATGAGAGTCCACACAGGACAGAAACCATTTGCATGTGAGCTTTGTGAACAAAGATTTAGGCATGGGTCAAATTTAACTAGTCACATGAGAGTCCACACAGGACAGAAACCATTTGCTTGTGAACTCTGTGGGAAACGTTTTACTATAAGGACAAAATTAAACAGACACATGAGAGTCCACACAGGACAGAAACCCTTTGCGTGTGAACTCTGTGAACAAAGATTTAGGTATAAATCAACATTAAACACTCACATGAGAGTCCACACAGGACAGAAACCATTTGCATGTGAACTCTGTGAACAAAGATTTAGGCATAAATCAACATTAAAAAGTCACATGAGAGTCCATACGGGAAATAAACCCTTTGCATGTGAGATATGTGGAAAACTTTTTACTCAAAAGACAGCTTTAAACACTCACATGAGAGTCCACACAGGAAATAAACCCTTTGTGTGTGAACTCTGTGAGCAAAGATTTAGTTTTAAGGCCACATTTAACAGACACATGAAAGTCCACACAGGACAGAAACCATTTGCGTGTGAACTCTGTGAACAAAGATTTAGGCATAAATCTACATTAAACAGCCACATGAGAGTCTACCAAGGACACAACACATGTATTTAAAGTGCAAGTCACCTCCAAATTAACTTTTTTTTACCGATAAATGGAATAAACAAGTGACTAAAAATGCTGTTGTCAAGTGAGGTCATTATATTTGCATTTTAGTGCATCTTATTTAAAATTTAAACATTCGGCTTGAAACTTCCAGTGTAGCGCCCTTATCAGCTTAAAGCTCTGCACCATGGACATGAATACATAAGCTGTTTTTATAGGACCATAGCGTTTGCAAAACAGGATTTGCCGCGGCTCCCTGGGGAGGATTTTGGCATTTATAGTAGCAAAGCTGAAGCTAGAATAAACTGCTATCAGGCACCTCTCAAACCAAGACGAGATAAAGGGAGGTCGCTGGGCACTGTAGGGTTGGGCATCATATGATTATGAATGATTCCGATTCCAAGTCCTCGTTTCGATTCCGGTTCCTATAGATTTCCGATTCTTTCAAGACATGATATGTTTTACACGAGCCAGCTAACCACAGGTCCTACTTGATGAAATAATTTTAACTTCATTATGAATTTTAATTCTATGAACAACAACATCACCTTCATTTAGACAAAAACATGTTTTGGAGAAAAAAAGATAAAGACTTTCAGCACAACCAGTGTGTTTGTTTCTGACCACAACCAAAGTCTGGAAGAAGCCTCTGGGATGAGTGTTGTGAATTATTATAAGAGCAGGGGGGGTTATATTAATGCTAGTAACAAATAGAAATGACTATTATGTTAGTTCATGGAAATGTTGAGTTTGAATGTTCACCAAGGACATATTATTTAGTTATATGAGACAGTATTTCTGATTTGAAATTAGTTAAGAGGCTCAGTATTGTGTAATCTTTAAAACTTCATTACCCATGAGACTTAGCGTGTTCCCAGAAGGCTTAACGAAAAAAACCAGGAAGTAGAGAAAAAACTGGCGCTAAGAGCAGACATGTGACTTTCCTGTAAGGTGTTCTAATTCGCTAAAGTTCGAGTTCAGCTAGACAAAGTCTCGTCTCATTCTTTATTTTGAAGAAGCTCGGTTGAGCTACAATAATGAGAGACTAAATGTCTCCCAACATATCCAGAAACGTCCAGCTGTTTTAAGCTGAAACTCTCAGGATGATCACGTCCAGGATGACTGAGAACTACACCTCCATGCTGCAGCAGCATTCAGTCAGAACAGGAAGTGAAACTTAAATGTAGCTGCTGTCAGTAACAATCTAACAGATTTTAAACATTAAAACTCTCAACAGAAATAGTTAAGAAAGGAAATTAAAATGTTTACAGCTTTGTGTGTAATTTATTATTATTATTATTATTCATTGTGGCAGAAGCTGGTGTGGTCCACCACAGAGAAGCTGCACTAGCATGATGACTTTAATTATTCTACAGGTTATTGTTCAGTCTTCTGACGCTCACACACACACACACACACACACACACACACACACACACACACACACACACACACACACACACACACACACACACACACACACACACACACACACACACACACACACACACACACACACGAGTGTTGGTGAGCAGCTGCGTCTGACTGCTGATGCTCTGTGTGTGTTTTTATTTCTGCAGTGAGACAAAGTCACCTCACACCGTCCAGAGTTTGTTCTTCAATCTTCTATTAAATCCACCGTGTTGACGTATTTTAACAAGTTTCCTCTATGCTGCAGGAGTTAAAGTTTACATTATGGAGTAAAAGTTCGGCAGACGCGTTTGTTTATATCTGGCCGCTGCGCGTTGGGTGGGGGGAGGGGTGACTCGGTGCTGCACACAGACAGCTGGTGTGATCAGCTATGAAAAGCATTGATCACAATTTGCAGATCACGTTTATTTTTCACGGAGATCGGCCGTGGATTCCTCTTCCGTCGGCACACTAGGAATCGAAACTAGGAATCGAAATAAAAAATGTTGAGCGATTCCGGGAAAAATGAACAGTTGGAACCGGTTCCAATCGATGCTTGATTCTCGATACCCAACTCTACTGGGCACCTATTATCACCTTTCCCCTTTGATCCTTGCCGCATTTACGAGACCCAAAAATTAGGATTTATCACTCTGTAATGACCCGATGGTTAGTCTTATAAAAGAGGCTATAGATGCCCCATTGGGCGCTGGAGAGCGTAACAGCATCTCCGCCATATTGGATGGGTCTCCTCACTCTCCAAACTCAATGCAGAGTGAGCTACTATTCAATTCAACTCAAAAATACTTTATTAATCCCAGAGGGAAATTGATTCCCGTTTCTATTCAGCCTCCGGTTACAACAACTGGCATACTGTTGAAAATAGATCACATGGGATTATAACTGATAACTATTGAAAGTCCAAAATTAAGTAACTCAGAAAATTAGAATATCAGTTAAGACCAATAAAAAAAGGACATTTAGAAATGTTGGCCTGATGAAAAGGCGGCGCAGTGGTTAGAGCTGTTGCCTTGCAGCAAGAAGGTCCTGGGTTCGCTTCCCAGCCTAAGATCTTTCTGCATGAAGTTTGCCGCGTGGGTTCTCTCCGGGTACTCCGGCTTCCTCCCACAGTCCAAAAACATGACTGTTAGGTTGATTGGTCTGTCTAAATTGTCCTTAGGTGTGTGTGTGTGTGTGTGTGTGTGCGTGATTGTTTGTCTCTGTGTTGCCCTGTGATGGACTGGCACTCTGTCTAGGGTGTACCCCGCCTGATTGCCCATTGACAGTTGGAGATAAGCACCAGCGCCCCCGCAACCCTACGTTCAGAAGATGGATGGATGGATGGATGGATGGGTGGATAACCTAATGAAAAGTGCAGCAATGCGGAGTGGCTTTCTGAACTGTTAGTTTAATCCAGGGGTCCCCAACACATCGCTCGTTTGACGTGAACAAAATAGTTTTTTTCCTTACATTCCTAACCTCAGCTGTTCACATTTATACAACCAAAGGTTAATAAAAATGGTCAGTTTTTTATACTTACTTTTGCTGGCTTTTGTTTTCTGTTTGAGTAATATCACTTGATCAAGTCCTTTATACAGTCCACACTATGAAATATGTAAAAATATGTATGATTTGTGCCAATATCGTATCAGATTGATATCGGTATCGGTCAATACTGAAGGCTGCAATATCGGTATCGTATAGGAAGTGAAGAAAGTTGTTTCGGGACATCCCTAATCTGCAGTAACACCTTGTTAACGCAAATTAAATGCCGTCCGTTCATGAACACATGATAAACACTCAGGCTTCCAAACTGTGGACATCTCCTGTGATTTAGTTTCAACAAATTTCCTTCAACAGCTGATTGCCCCATTTAGTAATAAAATATGATTGTGAACTCTCTCTCTCTCTCTCTCGTTCTATCGCTCTCCCTCTCTCTCTCTCTCTTGCTTGCTCGCTCTCTCTGCTCTGCTCTGTGTGCACAGCCGTCAGACCCGTGGAGAAAAAAAACAAACTACACCTATAACTAGATCTCCAACCTTAATATTGTCAGCATTAAATGCAGCTAAGCATAATTTACCTGCAGTTATTCAACAGTGAAGCAAAACTAACTTTCATGAGCAAAAAAATCTATAAAAGTTATTCAATAAATCGGGAATGCAGGAAGAAATGTCTTCTTTTCTCTTTACTTTTTTACATTTTTCACTCCAGTTCAAACTATTTAATTTATGTTTTCATCACATTTAGCTTGTATTTTATTAAAAAAAACTTCAGCTTTATTCATTTTATGAGACAATTAGTTTTGCATTGTTTGGAAAAAATAATCATAACAAAACAATTACTTGAAAACTTTTGTAGTAAATGCCTTTTAAATATCAGAAAATTTTATTTAAAAGGCATTAAATAGTTTCTGTAAGTATTTGTTCATTTATGACAAACTATGAAAAACTGACTTGGCTGCTTAGGTTCTGGGCAGGGCTCAGGGTCAGCGACTGAACAGGAACAGGTTAGCTTTTCCTGTGTGCTCAAAAAGTTCTGTTACTGATCCGTTCTGAAGTAAATGTCAAATTGTTCACACGACATAGATTTGTATTTCATTATCTGAAAGTATCTGATTAGTTAATAAACAAAATGTTGCAGGTAAATAAAACTTTTCTGTGTTTTAAAAAGAACTAAAAGATGGAGTTAGAATTTCAACACAGCAAGAACACACCAAAGATGTTTAAACAAAATGTTTTGTTTGATTTTCAGAATGTCGCTATTTTCCTTGTAATTATTTTATAATATTGATGTATAGAAAAATCTGCTTGTGAATACAATGCATGTTAATATAGTGAGTATAGCATTTTTAACATAAGCATATTCACACATGGAAAATATTAATGTGAATAAATCGTATGGCAGTAGCTGTTCGGTTCTTATATTGTGTAAAAGTAGCTCACGGGCCATAAAAGGTTAGAGACCACTGGTGTAATCCATCATTCAGGTGTTCTGAGTGGGTTCTGTTGTCCTTTTAGGTAAAGCAGCTGTTACAGCTTGTTGGAGATATCTTACAATGTTTGTTTCACTTATTTTTATTTGACTTTTATATTATTATTTAGTTTCATGAGGCATAATCGTTTCACTTAGATTAACGTTGACTCTGCTACTAAGTGTTGGTTCTAGATCTTAGCAATGATCTTTATGCTTCCTGCTTTGTTTCTTCTTATTGTCGTCAGAATTAAAAGCTTGAATCCAGGACTGTTTTCTCATAGTGTGATAAGTCTCTAATAAAATCCTACAACACTACACCTGCTGTCTCCCACTGCACACTCACCTACTCAGCTCTGTGACTACCTCTGTTGGCTCTCAGGTGGATTAGTGGAGGATCAGCTTGGAGAGCCCATTCCACCTCTGGACTTTCACACAGAACACCAACAAAAGCATATCAGGAGCAGCGTGGAGGTGGAACGATTCTTTAGTTACATCTTACGTAATGAACCATAAAATGTGAGATTCCATAGAAAATATGAAATCAATTTGATGGATCTTTTAATGTTACTTTAACCAGAAGATTAGAACTTTTTATTGCAGGGATTAGGTAACACTTTGTATTAACCCAGAGACGAGAGAGAGAGAGACAAGTTTTAAAGTTTAAGAAGATTTATTTCTAAACAATTTAAAACAAGGCTAACTAACTCTAAACACTCTGTATGATGAATGGATCTAGGTGTGAATGAGGCAAGATGGATGGTGTAATGTGGAGTGTTGTTATCAGAACTCTCGTTTTCAGAGAAGCGTTAGTTCTGTGTGGGAGCGAATGTTTTGCTCTAAACCAGGAGTGGGGAACCCTGGTCCTCGAGGGCCGGTATCCTGCATGTCTTAGCTCCAACACTTCTAATTCAGTGGTTGATTCACCTGCTCAGCAGCTCATCAAGCTTTGCAGAAGCCTGTTAATCACCTGCTGATTGAAATCAGGTGTGTTGAAGCAGGGCTGAAACTAAAATATGCTGGATGGTGGCCCTCGATGGACCAGGGTTCCCCACCCCTGCTCTAAACTACAGTCGGAGTTTTAAAAACACATTTAGATGCCAAATTGCCGCTCGCCATACCCTTGGCGGAGACCTCAGTTTTAGATCCAGAATGCCAGGTCCTCGGACCCCCCTCTTGGTACCGGAGCCGATGAAACATGCGTACGGTATGACAGACTAGTCTTGGAATGCCTCCAGGTAAGCAACAGGTGGTTGACCGTGTCAGCGGGACCCTGAAGGGTCAGTGAGTTCAGTTTTTACTCTGAAGGAACATTGCGTTCAGGTGTAGCTTGCAACAGGTTTTATTATCCAGCTTGTCAAGGTTCTTTGTGGTTAAAAAGTTACGAGTGGCCGGCTCGAAACTCTAGAACGTTTGAACGCTGAGTTTAGGGTGACGTGGGAATTAGTTTTATGTCAGATGTTTTGATTTATGGTCGAATCAGGATTTGACAACCAAAAGGGGTTTGTATAAACACCGCACAGACCACGCCACGCGTCAGAAAGGAAAGCTCTGATTGGAGACAAAAGGAATGTGTCATGTGATCTTAACATTACTTGCGTCATAGGGGTGTCTAGTGCATCTGTACCAAGTTAATTCTTTTACAAATACTACTGATTACAGTATTATAATTCAAGTAATTAACATTGTCATTTCACAGATTGATTTACATTGGGTTCACATTATTATTAGGACTAACAAACGTCATTTGATTATTTATTAAAAAGAAGAGAAAGTCCTCTGTCTTGGTCTTGAGCTGGAAAGGAAGTGAAACAGTTTAGAATGAGCAGAGTGCATGAAAGTCCTTGAGAGATTAGGTTGAGGGAGACTGTCTCCCCAGCTTGTGCAGAGTGCAGGCGTGACTTTAGGTCAAAAACAGTCATTTCATTCCGCTACAGAGGTGTTGTGTGAACAGCTTTTAGGAAACTCGGACAGTTCAAGTTATGACTGCAGAGCTGCTGAGAAGCTCACCTGCTTTAGGATCTTCACTTCCTGCTGAAGCTCAACTTGTTTGATAAATCATAAAGTGGCTCTGGTCTGGAAAGGCCGAACATCCCATAATTTAGAGGCAATGGCTGAAAAGGCTCCATCAGCTGTTGTTTCATTTGATGGTGGGGATGTCCAGAAGCAGCTGAGATGCTGACCTCAGTGCTCTGACTGGATCATGATGCTGCAGCTAATCAGACACATTTCATTTCCTTGAAGAGTCTTAAAACCTCCTGAATTGAATGATGAAACTAACAGGAAGCTAGTGTAAAGAGGCCATACAGGAGTGATGTGGTGGCGCCGTCTCCTACCTGTTGTTACAACCGGTGATGCTAAAAGGGAAGGACTGCGTAACATCAGAGGCGTGTGGTAGATGTTTTCTTAAAAGTAAATGCTCTTTCATTTACAATAAGAAAAATCAACCTAAGATCAGTTTATCTTAATTAAAGAAGATCTCAAAGAGGAAAAACTATGATCAAAGTCTGAAAATATGTGTGGAGCACCGCTCCACCAATTCATTAATTAACAGGAAGACTAACAAAACTAAAGAACTTCCTCTCCAAGATAAATCTTATAATTAACCCAAACCAATAAAAGGTAATCCAAGTCCCAACAAAAAGGGTTTCTTATTCTAATAGTAAACAAAAGGAGGTAAAGGTACAACTAAAACTAGGCTCTCAGCCAAACAATTTACTCAAGAGTATCACCAGCAAACTCTGCTCTGAAAATCCCCCACAGGGTAAAACATAAGCTGCTCCTCTGAGCAGACAACTGACAGAACCAAGTTCTTAATAATGAACACACTGAAATATTTAGATGAGAAGCTGAGAGAGAAGAAACTGCAGCACGGATTTAAGTTCTCTCTCTTGGTGCCTCAGGCTGTCTCTCCTTTTCTGCTCTCTGGTCTTGATTGATGATCGAGAGCAGCTGGGAAGTCAGGAGGGAGAGGCTGAGCTGCTTTCCAGGGAGCAGGAGCTGCTTGATGATGCAGCGGGTCAGACTGGGTTCTGTATACAAATTTCTTTTTGGGACTAATCAGATCTGTGAGGGGTTGGACAACCATTGCAAAGTTTTTACAGAATCCACGATAGTACCCAACCATACCCAAAAACTGACGAAGTACTCTCCGCATAGTCAGAGTGGGGAAGTCCATCATAGCCAGTTGTTAGATATTTTAACCTAAAGGAACCACACCAGAGGAAAGATTGGTAGGTTTTATATGCTACGGCGGAGGCAGAGAGCCTGAAAGGAACCTCGCCCAACTCCCTCTAACCGCTCTCTCTCCACCACAGCATTTTCATTAAAACACAGGAAAAAATTAACAAAGAGCAATTCATCACTGTCTACACTAGCCAATAACAGCGTTGTTTCTAGACTAAGGTGGGACATTCCAAAAAGGAAGTCTCCTTTTATGGAGTTGCCTGCTAGCAGCCAAAAACTGCTGAGTCACTCAGCCTGCTATAGCAGCCAAAAACTGCTGAGTCACCCAGGAACTGGGACTGTTCCTGTTGCGGGCAGATTAACTAACATCACCAACACACTGCTCTAATATCAGAATATTTAATAACTACAAGTCCTACAAGAAGCCCTAAACTCGAGTTGTGATATCCATTTTAAAGTGGTTTATTGAAAGCTAGACTTCTACTCCAGCTTACCTTGAAGAAAACATGTAGCTGTTTATGCTTTGAATGATGATCTATTATGTTCAGCAGAATACATTTTACAATCATTACTTTATATTTTTATGTGAAGACAGTACATGCATCTATAACCTATAACCTATAATGCATCTATAACCACTATAAGCTGCATCACTAATTATGAGCAATGTACTCAAGACCTAATGAAACTCTTTTGAATAACTTTATTTTGATTATTAAAATAAAATTTGTTGTTGGGTTAAAATTAGAAATTACAAATTTTAGGGTTGGATAAAATTTTTAAATGTAATTTTACATCTCTGTATTTTTGGTTTAGTTCAATATTTCTATATGTACAAAAACTGTATTTTAATAATGCCTTTATAGGTTGATTATCTTGTTGGCTGCCCTGCATATGGATGTAGCAATCGGTCTGAGGGAGGAATCAGAATTATGGCTTCCCCAAAGATGCAGAGAAAAAATGGTTGGCTCAAGTCAGCAGGAGCAACCTCCCCATCACAATAACAAAAAGCTGGGTGCAGTGAGTTTAACGTGCACTCTCCAATGTTTTCTGCCAAGGCTCTACATGTTTTGCTCTCAACTGCACAAGGCTGCAATTAAACTGTTAAATGTGGCAGGAAATAAACTAATGCACCACTCTACAGGCACATTTTGAGGAGGGACAGTTTACTAAGCTTAAGCAAGGCAAGGTGAGACTCAGGGCTGATGCTGTTCCGAGCTATCAATCCTAGCGTGTTAGCCCGACTGGCTAGTCCGGCTAACGCATCCATCGCCAGTGAAAATCTCACCACAAAGGTTGGTCTCCTCAATGTCCGCTTCCTTTCTGGTAAAGGACATCTCCTCCAGGACATCATCATGGACCGTAAGCTTGATCCCAGCTCAATGACTTTACCCCTCTTGGGTTTGTTTACACCTCCAAGCTGCGGTGGCGGTCTCGCGATGCTTTACCGCGAGACCTGGAAGGTCCTTCCAGTGACTCTACCACCCCTCACCACCTTCGAATGCCTCGACTGCAAATTACCTGGCCAGAACCCCACCATCATTGCTACCATCTATCGTCCCCCAAAGTCTTACTCTGGGTTTTTAAACGAATTTTTCACTCTTTTAACACATCTATCTACTCTCTCCCCTAAAGTGATTTTACTTGGTGATTTTAATATTCACATGGACAACGACAATCTCCCCCTCACCAAGGACTTTTCGTCATCACTGGACGGCTTTAACTTTAATCAGTTTGTCAATTTTGCCACGCACATCAAAGGACACACTCTGGATTAAATTTGTTGCTCTGGTTTCTCCCCCTCCAACTGCTCAGCTGTTCAGCTCCCTTTTACGGACCACTTCCTCATCTCGTTTTCTTGTTCCCCTTCGTCTCTCAGTCGTTAAACCAATCCATCTCATGTCCTCCCGTAACATCAAGAATATTGATTTAATCTCCCTCTCCTCCAGCTTAGCCACCCTGACCCCTGATCTATCTCTCAGTTTGGACAACCTTGTCATCCGATACAATACTGAACTTGAATCCATCCTGAACTCACATGCTCCTGCTAAACTCCGTTCTGTTTCCTTCACCCGGTCTGCTCCCTGGTTTACTCACAAATCGCATACTGGAAAGACTCTATAGGAAAACTGGC